GAAAAGGTTTTGTTCGTCTGAGTCTAAATACTCGTGAAATAAATCGAAAACCTCGTACTATTTGAAAGAACAAATTAATGAGAAAGAATTGTGTTTTTTTTTTTTTCAATGACGTCAATACACATTTAATTAATTAAGTGTCTTTGGAGAAAAATCTTCATTTTGAAGAGTCTGGCAGTTACATTTCGATATAAAAGGTTTGGGTTAGGTTTGAGTTAGGTTACTCGTGAAAAAAATTTAAAGCCCTCTTATTGTTAGTATTTAAAAGAATTAATGAGAAATGAATTATGTTTATTTCAATGATATACATAAACATATGTTTCTCATGATTGAAAAATACTAATTTTTATTATATATTAATAGCATTATCGTATTAGTATGTACATTTATATTTTACGAATTTTATGGTGTGATATCGTCTGAGATAATTGCTCGAGCAAAATAACTTGAAACGCAGATAACAAGAATCGGAAACGAATTAAATAATTAAAATTAATTTTCCACTTTAATCTTTTTCAGTCAAATCGTTACAAAATAGAGTTACTCGCTAGTTCGAAAATTACACAACATTCCGACATCAGTAAAGCAAACATTCGAAGTGAAAAAAATTACCTAAAGTACAACAAACACGGTTCCCAAAATGTTCTCATCGTCGTAGAAACAGCAACAGTTTGAAACCAAAGAACTTTACTCTCTCACTACGATCGCTACGTTCAATGTCATTCGCTCGCAAGAAAAAAAAAGAAAAAAAAAAAGAAAGAAAGAAAGGAAACACAAACGAACGTTATTAATTTTCACACTTTCTCAAAGAGTCCCAACCTCTCGAATTCAGGTCAGATTCTTCGACGTCTCCTAACAAGAAATTTTCTCCCCCTTCCCGGCAACTTCCGCGATAACGTCAGATAACAAACAGTCGAAGCCCAAAACCTAATCAATGCCCGGTAGGAAACACACGGCAGTATATTCCTGTATCGCGCGAGTTTCGTCTGGTTCCCGGTTCTCGATGCACGTCCCTTCCATTTGCCGTAAGTGGCGGCGTATGCCGCCATTACGGGATCCGGTGTCGGAGGCATCCTTTAAATTGAAGATAAATTTCAGCTCGGTCGGAGGCGCGATCGAACTTAACTATCGGGATTGTTGCCAAATTAATGAGGCCAATGCAGGGTAACGGCTATCGATGCCAGAGTGGATCCCCCATTTTGGATCCAGGCTTTCGATTTCGGGCAACATAACCCAAACCTAAACCGTGGCGTGGTTGAACGCCATCTCGCGTTTCACTGTAATGGATAACCGGTTAAAAAGGATTTAGCCGGAACGATTACGTGACGTTTGCGTAGCTTAACGAGGGTAGCTGAAGAAGAGAGAGAATAGAGAGCGGCAGCTGGAGAGAGTCCTGCTGGATTTATCTCTCGCTCGTGGAATATTTTACTGGGTAATTTGAACGGCTAGAGGCGGCGGGAAGACGTTTGCCTGACGAAAACGCGGTTATGGCAGTTGGTCTGTGATAAGCCTCGAATATATTATCACCTGACCGTCTTAGGATAGCTCGCCCGTAGAATGCCCAGTTCCAAGAAATCTAAAGACGTAAATCAATGGAAGGAGTTAGTAAAAGTGTAACTTTCGTTCGGTGTTAGACGTTCGTAATTGTACAGTTAAATATGAAAATAAAAAATTGGAGATTGTAAATAAATGTTACACAGAACAGGCAGAAGCGACTTTTCTCGTTGAATGTTTTGCAAATGCAAACGTACCTGTTTGCTTGATATAATTATTACGATATTGACACCAGGACAATGAATTTTATGTCTATAAAATTTCATCTTTGAAACATGTGCGAACATACAAGCTCGTGCAATTTATTTTATTATTAATAAAATTATTACAGGATAAATATATTTCTATAACAATATATAATAATTTATATATTGCAAAGTTTTCCCATTTCTTTCGCTTTAACGTTTCTGATGGAAATTTTACGCTTTAGTTCGAGTCTTAAATGAGCTGTCCCATCGATCGAAAGTTTCGACGATGTAAAATATATTTATATAGACGTTTAACCGAAAATAACGTATCTTGGCTAGTTTCTGAGCCCTCCATATGATACTCTGCTAAATAATACCGACACTATAGTGTGGCAATCATAGGAAAATCCCTCGAGTCTCTCTCTCTCTCGGGTCATGATCGTCTAGGATCTCGGACCTCAAGTGCGGTTCCTGGCGAACGTGCTATATATTTCGTATCTTCTGGCGTGTATTTGCATTCCGTTTCCTGGATTCCATTTCGTGGCACGACGTACATTTCATTGAAGTTATTACGATTAAATCGCTGGGAACTAATAACCGTAGTTTCTGCCGGTGAAATTCAATATTGTAAGTGTACGTTCATATAGTTCGAAGTTATATATATATATATATTTACATTGCTTCAGCGGTTGAAGTAACCAAACAGTCGGGAGTGTGGACACGACGAAGTTCCTCCGGGCAAACGTCGTTGCTTTCTTTGTTGTTTCTCTTGTTCCTCCGGCGTTTTGTATAAAAATACAAATTTAAGAATCTGCAGTTGAATTCGGTGAATCAGAAGCATCGAGGAAAGCTGCCCCATCGTTTGGAAAAATGAAGGAACACGTTTCTAACGTTTCGTTCTGCCACTTGCGATTATTTATGTTTATACCGAATTAATTGACGATCTCAAAAAGTCGAGTGCTATCGTCGTATATCTAGATTAGTGGAATTAAAAAATTGACGAAGAGTGTAGCTTGGCTTTGTTACGCTTTAATTAAGCTTCGTTTAGAATTATGTCACTGTGTGCAATCTATATAGTTCGAGATTGAAATCTACGTCGACATTATTTCACATTTGTACTACTGAATTTTGGCCCCGATACTTATAATAATCAGAAAAATAATAAAATATAAGTACAAAAGAATGTTCTTCGAAACATCTAGTGAGTGAAATAAGTCTCCACGCAAATTCGATTTTTATAAATAATACGTTCGCAAAATTATAAATTTTTCATCAAGAATATGTCCAATTGTTGAATTTTGTGCATCGTATTACACCTGATTAACTTTCGTTGGAAGCTTTATTAAAAATTAAATCATTTTATCTGCAAGATTTGAACTGTGTCGAAATTATTTCACGCTTGTACTACTTAATTTCTTAACATGGAAATTTTGCCACGTATTACTCGTGAAAGTGTAATTTAAAAAAAAAAAAAAAGGAAGAATCTTTGATTGAATAATTCCAGCGACAATCAATCGAGTGATTTATTAGTTTCGTGTCTCTGCTCAATTTATATTTCGCGCATAATGTATTTGCAAGACCGGAAGCGTCTTAACGATGGCAGCGATGAAGCAATTAAAACCTTAATTACCCGAACTCGAGAATTAATTGCGTTCGCATTGCCCCTCTAATTTTCCTGTTTGTACTATTTTCTCAAATCGAATAAAGAGGGGTGTAAAAAAAAGGCAGAGCACCTAACCGTTTGAAATTGATCAAAAGATTTCGTTTGGAATCTCAGTATATTCATTTCGAATACTTGAAATAAATAAAAGATGGATTTTGGACATTTCGTGGACTTTGAATAACTATTTAGTTACAATTGGATCGTTTCTAGAATATTAACAGTCTTAAATGATTATATAAACTATGTACAATTATTATAAATACACTAGGACGAATGAGATTTATTCTAATTGTAATATCGTAGGTATAACACATTTTATACACTTTAATCGATATACAGTAATTCTATAGTAAACTATTCTTCTGATATCTTCTTCAAAATTTGTGTTTAAATCAATGAATAAATGCTAAACACAAAAAAAATCAGTGCTTATAAAATTCTCGAATGTATATAGATCTTCGTGACTGACTATATATTTGATCATTTCCGTTTCTTTATCTATTACATGATATATATTTCAAATAAAATCTTTTAATTCAATTTTGTCCTCCGATATTATCTCCAATTGTTATATATAATACCAGTAATAGATTATCAATATCTTACAATTATACAAATGAAACGATTACAACAGAGTTATTTAATAAGTTCAGCAACGAGCTCATTCCTTTTCCTCGATTTTCCAGTTTAACAGAGCATTCGATGTTATTTTGCTTTCAGCAGAGTAATATAAAAAAAGAAAATGTGAAGGAGTTAATTCGAATTTGACGTTTCTCTGTTAGTATTCTGAAATTATAAAGATAAACAAACAGCACAAACCAAATGCCCAAGCATTTACGGTACCGCTCTTTTTATTCGTCGTGTAATTTATTTCGCATCGTTTCACTCAATCGTATCTAAAATTAATACCGTACAAATTATTACCTATTAGTTACACTATTATATATGTATGAACAGCGCTGAATCACGCTGTGCATAATTATTCAACAGTTAAATAATTAATTGCACGAAAATCGCACAATAATTTAAAATATTCATCGCGAATTGTTATCAATTATTATTGTACACGGCAAATGTTCATACTCATACTCCAACTATACTTAATAACCATAACGGTGCACTATAACGTCAGTCGATAATACCAAACGATTTCCAACACTGGTACACGATTCCAACGATGTCCAAAGGAAGCTACAACAATCCGATACAATATAATTTTCGAAATACTTCTCGCAATACAGAAATTTCCTTTCAGCAACAGTCTTACTAATCTTCCATCATGCTTCGTACATTGTAACACGGAATAACTAGTCGTACTGAACACGGTAACATCGTCGCGAAATCCCTCGTCCGTGGTTGCGACGCGGTTAAACCCTGCTCGCCAAAACGCACCCACGGCAGTCGTTCGGAATTCCAGTGCCAGTCTGCAACCCAATTCCAATAACTCGTCTCATCCACAAGAACAGCGGCACACCGGGGTGACCTGACACCTCTGCACCCTCGTGCTCGTGCAGCAAACAGCACTATACACACCTCTACACCTACTCGATCTTTGCGGCCGATCGCGTAACCGCCATTTGAAATACTGATTTCAGATGTGGGAGAGCTGGATCGTGCGAGGCTAAGGCTAACGTAGGGGGTGGCAGCGGGAGGTCGTGGAATCGGTCGGAGATTCCCATGCACGGCCAGAGACTGCCTGGAATCCCATGGTCGAGAGGAGAGAAGGAGCATGACGTAGCCGTGGACAAGGGGGGCGCTTCGGATGCTCCAGACTGCCGATTAGGCTCGTATGGAGGGGAAGGACGCAATCACCACGGAAGGCACCCTGCTTCTCAACCTGACCACTATTGCCACACGAGACGCCGACGGCTCCCTCCGTGGATTCCCCGGCAAAAATTCGCCATACACGGTCACGCAGGTAGGACGGTGGTCCTGGTCCTTTTGAAAATGAAAAGCAATCGATTTCACACGTGCTTACTACACTCGGAATATATAATATTGTTATCGTTAACGGCATTCGTTAGATGTTTTCGGTGGACTGCGAAACGCTCCACATCGTGTGATTTGTTTTTCGGAATTTTTCTAGAATTTCTCATTAACGCGAAAGCACTATTCTTTCGGTTATTTATTCGGGTTCCATTTATTATTCGTGAAGATTTGTCCTTCGATCGACACCTTACTTTTGTGATTGTTTTGAAGATTGTTGATGGGATTGTATTGCAATATGGAGAATTTAGTCGTAGGTTAGATTTTATTGATATTGGTTAGATATTATTGAGAATTTAGTCGTAGAATTTAGATTTAGGTTTAAGTTGAGTTAGGTTTAGCTTTAAGTTAGATTTAGTTAGGCTTCGATTAGTTTTAGTTATTTCAGTTTAGAATTAGGCGTTGATTGGTTTTGGTTACTTTTGAATTAGGTTTTGATTAGTTTTGGTTAGGCTTTGGTTCGTTTCAGTTAGATTTTGGTTAGTTTCATTTGGTTTTAGTGATTCTAGCTTGCAGTTTGCAAATGCCGCGTCGATCTTTGGCAATTGACGGTGTCAAAATAAAAGAAATGATAATCCGATGTTAAAAGTTTTGTGCTTGTGTGAGCAATAAAGCCCAAGAAGTTGAGAAAAGCTTACATCACGTTTGGGGGAAAGCGAAAGTATAAAAAGACAGAGGAGGAGTCGGAAACGTCAGAGAAAGAAAGGAAATTTTCGTGAGTCGTCATTGAAATATCATTGCATAGTTAAAAGTCGCGAATTACTGAGTTGTCAGGCATAGTTATACATTTCACTTCGATGAATCAAACACTGTTAATTCATTCACAATACATCTTCTTGTCCAACATATACATTTTCCCACGATACGCATAGGCAAACTACTTTTGCGCCACTTGGCATTCTCAGTTTCTTCTATCGCAAATCTATTTCAGAGAAAATTGTTTTTAAATTTAACACTGCAGACTCGTGAATGACAACAAGCCACCAAACTGAGTTCCATTCGAAGCAATTCGAATATTATATTATCGTCTGCAACAACGAATTAGGAGAATTTCGTTGCATCGTTTCGAATGTTTGGCGATCAAAGCGAACTCAACAATCAGAAACAATCGGAGCATGCCCTTTTTTTCCCTGCGTTTGATAAACTGGATTAGGGGGCAGCTTAATTAATGGAGCACTTTGTCGGACGATCGCGTTTGCGTTTCGTGTTAGGCGGTTTGACGAGGACGCTTGTGAAATTTATGGGGTTGATTTCGGCGGAGCTTCGGGTTCCAGGAAATGGAGTGAAACGTACGTACGTTCAGGTACGATATGAACGTTCCGGCCGAGCGTAGTTCTATCTTCATTATGCCGCGTTGGAGATTTCACCGCGTTGGATTTGCATGTTGGAACGTTCTTCGTTTCTGGAGAAGCGCTAATGCGAAATTCGAAGACAAGGAGAATTGATACTCTAACTCTGTGAGACGATAAACTCTTCGAATTGATCGTAATGGAAATCTTTCGTCTTCTGTTTCGAACTATTTTTTGAACGTTTATTAAACATTATATACATAGATTTTTGTGAATTTCAATAATTTGTTGAACGCATTTTGCAATTGTTAATACCTGATAAGGTACAAGTACTGTCGATGATTGTAATTATTAAATTTATTTGTTGCTGTCGATATAGCACCCTATATTATATTATTATATATTGATTACAATAGGTTATAATAATTTACAATATTGAAATTAGCCGCGGAGGTATTTCAAATTTTAACTCACTTTGATTACAACGCCGAAGCAACGAAATTCATTCATACGCTTCTTTAACTCTGCCATTCGAGATAAATAATAAATAACTTTATATGCATTGTACACACAGTTGTTCGTTATGTGTTTTGTTAACGCCGCGATGTATAATATAACTATATTTCTTCAAAGTTTAAGCATTCTTAAAAATATATTTTGCAAACAATCATACAACATTATTAATTCTAAATACAACATTCAATGGGATTAATTCTTTAACAAGCATTTCTCACTTTATACCAATATTTCACTAAAAATATTCTCACATCAATGCAATCATAATCGTGTCTCATTGCATCATTAATTTCAAAATGTTTCACGGAGAAAGCGCACAATATATTCGCAAAGACCTCCTTAAACAAACATTCTCGAATACACTTTCGAACACGCTCGAGCACAATCACTGTATCACTTTGGCAGTGAGATTTTCTCTTCGTCGACTTTTCCCCAAATTTTCTCCAATCGTACTATCCGAAGAACTCGGCTAAATGCTCCTGTGTAACTGTGTGAACCGAAATTATCACCGTGAGATGGCGAGATTACACGGAAATCCACTCAAGTTTCTCGCGCCTTTGACAACGCGGATCGATATCGAGGGAGGATCATCAGGCCGAAGATTAACACGAACACCATGAATAATCATGCCGGCTATGTTTGCAATAAAACGAGGCCTGGAAATGTCGCACGTTGAAGTTCTTGCGGTTGCGGAAGTTTGAGGATAGCTACGCGGTTAACGATAAGTATCCTGTAGCTATAATTAGTTTAGTTCGTGTGGACGTCGGGGGGAGGGGGAGGGATGATGAGTCTTTTATTAGCAAGTCTGGATAAACTTTCAAACGGCTGCGTAAATAATTTATTCTTGTTTCGTCGACGTCGGTAAATTAAGTAGTAGCGAGTCGGTATAAAGCGACACAGGGTTGATTATCCGTCCTCTGACGGAGTTCCCGGTGAAAATGCACCATGGGTGAAAGTGTTTCAACGTTGTTTCAACCAAGTTGATAGAGTTCGAGTTCTTTTTTTTTTTTTTGGATAATTATTTTGCCACGCAGAATTTTCAGACGCTTATTTTTGTTTTAATCTTCTATGTCTGGTGTATTTCATTTTATTTAGTTTTATTTTATTTTATTTTACTCTGTTTTACTTTGTTTTACTTTGTTTTACTCTGTTTTACTCTATTTTACTCTGTTTTACTCTGTTTTACTCTGTATTACTCTGTATTACTCTGTATTGCTCTGTATTACTCTGTATTACTCTTTATTACTCTCTATTACTCTGTATTACTCTTTATTACTCTCTATTACTCTGTATTACTCTCTATTATACTGTATTACTCTGTTTTACTCTCTATTACACTGTATTACTCTGTTTTACTCTGTTTTACTCTGTATTACTCTGTATTACTCTGTATTACTCTGTATTACTCTGTATTACTCTCTATTACTCTCTATTACTCTGTATTACTCTGTTTTACTCTGTATTACTCTGTATTACTCTATATTGCTCTGTATTACTCTGTATTACTCTGTATTACTCTATATTGCTCTGTATTACTCTGTATTACTCTTTATTACTCTCTATTACTCTGTATTACTCTCTGTTACTCTGTATTACTCTCTATTACTCTCTATTACTCTGTTTTACTCTGTCTTACTCTGTTTTACTCTGTTTTACTCTGTATTACTCAGTTTTACTCTGTATTACTCTGTTTTATTCTGTTTTACTCTGTTTTACTCTGTTTTACTTTGTTTTACTTTGTTTTACTTTGTTTTACTTTGTTTTACTTTGTTTTGTTTTATTTTGTTTTATTTTATTTTATTTTATTTTGTAGGAAATGTAGCGAAAATATAACACAAACTTCCGTGTGGAAAAGAAACTAAAGTCTTTATTTAATGAAATATTAATAATCAAGTATATGCGATACAAAATGAGGTAGTCACGCAGCAAAGACTGGCAAAGAACTAAACTTTCTGTTCGGCATGGTCCTGTCCGTAACTGTAGAGAATAGTGAGTAGAGGATAGAAAACAGATGTTAACTTTGCCCCTCATAAAGCCATTTTCCAGCCTTACACTGCTGGATGGTCGAGTCGTTGTATTCCAACATATTTTATTTTATTTTATTTTATTTTATTTTATTTTATTTTATTTTATTTCTGGTGTAGTGTATTTCATTCTATTTACTCTTTACTTTTGTAGAATTTTATTTGTTTCCTTTCTTTGGTTTCGTGCAAAAATGGTATAAGAAGATAAAAGAGATGTAACATCGTTGCATTCTATTATCTAGAAATTAATATTTTCGACTCGTACTACCTTCGTACCTTGATAGCGTTTAAAAGTACTGCTTGCGTCGATTCAATCGAATTTGATATAACCAGAGTATGGATGTTTGTGCATTTAGAAGAAAAATTTAGAAAAAATAATGATACAGCGTTCAGTGTAATATATTATGGATGAAATGAAACCGTCAAATCGTAGAAATTTCTACTTGTCACTCAAGTTCTACAAATTCGATCGATTTCGCAAGATATTCTTCTTTTATCCTTCGGACTCAATTAATTCAATTACTCGTCAGAATTAATCAAAAGTAATTTAATTGGATTTATCAAAGCGTGTGTCTCGAACGTTTAACTTCGTTCTCACTAAAAATGAAATTTCGCAGGGAATAGAATTTCATTCTACGTTTCTCGTTTTCATTTCCACGGCTGCGTGTTTGTTCGACGCTTCTTTCGTTGTGAAAATAATGAAAAATCAGGATTCCTCTGTCCCGGCCAAAGAAAAAGCGAGCACGAAAGTACTATAGAAATTAACAAACTTCTCGGCTTATCAACGTTCGAGGAGATCATCTTTCGTTTCGTTCGGTTCGCAATATCGTTGCACGCGCGTCCCTTATTACAAAATTCTTCGTGTTCAAAGAAACGAGTTCGAATATCCGGCGATACAATCAGTCTCGATTTATCGAATTGCCTGTAAATAACTGCTGCCTTTGCGCTCGCCAGAGGCGTGCAATACCGAGCGATACACAAAAGAACAAAAGGTTCATTCTTGGACCTTAACTGAGGAGAGAAATCTCAAGGCGCTGGATGTTTCTACTAGGAAACGAATATTTCTATCTACCTTCAGTTTAGTTGGTTTCATTTCCCAGAATCGTATATTTCTTTCGATTTTCCGTAAACAACTTCTTACGATTTCTCTTTCTCTCTCTCTATCCTTCTTTCTTTTTATTGATTTAACTTCACCATAGTGCAAGAACTTAAAAATAGATTTCTTGCGAAGCAGAAGTATAAGTAGCTGTATAATAGTACACGAATTTTCATTTTGAACAATAATTGTCAGTCGAGATTTATTTCTTTTTTTTTTTGTCATGTTACAATGAGTGTTACAGTTTTGATCTTTTATTGCGTCATAGCCTGTATAAAAATACGTTGCCGAATAATTAACTAAATTGAATCGAATTCGATGTTGGAAATTTACTCTCTATTTGCTGATTAATATTTCGTCTCCTTTTGATCTGTCAAAACATTTATCACAGTTGAATAGAAAACATGAATTTTGTTCATTGAATATATATTAAAAAAACGGTAAATAAAATATTGCAAAGTTTGAAACGGCAAAAGAAATTCAGATAATAGTGTCAAATTCGTGTTGATTTTATGTACTTTAAATGTGCAAATCGTATGTGTGACATATTTCATACAAAATGCAATTATACAAAAAAGTAGTGTAACTTAATCGTTCCAACATACATCCAGAATTTGATTTAATTACGTCCTAAAGTTGATTTAAACAAATGAACAAATTGACATTGCAAATTCGCATTGGAAAAAAAAATGGCTCGTTATTTTTCAGTCGAGCTTTTATCATCCACATCATCGGTAGTTTATTTCGTTACAGTGTTAAACAAGAATGTTAGAAATTTTTTCAAAGACTCGTTAGAGAAAGTCTAATGACGTGGAAATTCTTTCACATGGCCGAGATAGGCGTTCATCTTGTCCAACAAAAAGAGTTGCACATTTCTTTTTCATTGCATCCTTTTGGAAGTTGAACATGCTCAAAGTTTCACTGAACAAATAACGATATCATAAAAGAGTAAAAACAGTGAAGAGATTAAGGATAATTTGGACACAAGCCATGGAGCTTGCCGTTTTTATAAGTGAAATGCGTCGACGATTACGAAGGAAATGGGGAAAGTAAATTGGCACGAAACATGTCGGACGAAAAAATTGGAAACTGTATGCGAAAATTTGAGGTCGATCGATCGATCTCAATTTTTTTTTTAGAAATTTTTTTTTAGAAACGTACAGGAGAAACGTAATACTATTCAATCATTAGTGTGTTAATTTCGAAACCAAAGATTAATTTATTAATTCAATTCTTTAATTTGTTAATTTGAAATATGAGGAGGTTGAGAAGGTTTCATAATATAGATATTTTTCTTTCTTTGTTATTCATTTACAAGTCGTTCCCATTCTCTATGTACTGAACCTCGCCTATTCTTACGTTTCTGCAGAAACATTATGCACAATGTCTCGCGTGGACGTTCAAACAAGTTCAAACAGAGAAGTTTCCGCTCGAACTCGGAGCCTTTCGCTCGCGTGAAAAATTCAAAAGCAAATGATAAATAAAACAGAAATTCCAACAGCGTTTTGAACCGCTTCGAATTTTGTTTATACTTCGATGCACTTTTCAGCGAACAGAAGTCTTTGAAAAATTCCGAAAACAATTCGCACGCGATTTCCACACTTTCTAGGTTTGAACAGTCACATGTTTTATATATATTTATATATATTATATAATTATATATTAAGTGTATAACTTATATATTAAATATATTATTATACCAAACGTACAAAATGAGACACTTGAGATGATTAAACAATTCTGTTGAAGTTTACAGAGCAAAACATCTTGTAAATTAAAAATGAGAAAAATAATTCAAGTCTTTTTGACTTTTGGCATTATTTAAATGTCTATAGTGATGCAGAAGTACCTAGGTGTATATCATGTATATTGAATTTCGTTAAATTTGAAACCAATCTGAAGATAAATACAGAAATTACGAAATATTTATTGCAATTTAATCAGAATGTGTCTGATTCAGAATTCGTATATCAAGTATACGTAACAAACATAAAGATTTACTAACACAATGAATAATAACGATAATCAGTGGTTTAAATATTTTCACGACTCTGCCTTGTACCAAACACCTTGCAACTTTTACATACACATTCATTCATACGCAGATTTGACCACCATAATCGTGATAATAAAGACAAATTGCAAGATGTTTTAACGAAAACGTCAAAATGTCCTGTACAATTCATACAGTTAAAAAATAATTGCGAATATATTTTCACAGAAAAAAAGACATTTCAACTTCCAGAGTGATTCAGAATGAAACGAGAAACATTCGCAGTACAATCTTCGACGCTTCGAATCGTTCTTTTTTTCCAATTTAACGAATTGATTGCGTGTGTCGAGAGATTAACAGAGGGTGAAAGGGGGTGTGACGTTTATCGACGTCATTAACGCAGTGATTAAACCGTGATTAAGCCACCGCTCTCTCCGTTTGTTGCTCGCAGATGTTATACATAATCTGATCGCACGTTATCCGAAATTATCGAACGAAATGAGAAGAGAGAGAAAAAAAAAAAAAAAGAAATCAGAACGAGCGACACGCGACGAGCACGATGAAACAGCTGGTTCGAGGTTCAACTTTGAATTATTGTACGCCCGCGTGGAAAATTTAATGGCGATCGTTCGAATCCGCGCGCACGTGCCGATATTTATATATATCGCGTATCGAGTTTTTCCTCTTGAATTCGTGGGTAAATTGCTCGCGCGTACGCGAAAGCGTATCCTCTTCATTTCGATGGAATGATTCGGTGAAATTATTATCGAGACACTCGGGCGAGAGCGTGTCGGCTCGAAAAATCCCGCGTGTTTCATGTCTGTTTTTCCAGATACCTGTGCAAGTCTCTCCTTTCGTTGAGACTGGAGAACGCTTGTTTAATTGTTGTAATTATTCGTTGTGAATATTAACGGCGCGTGTTTGTTCATCGTCGAATAACACACTTCGAATATTTTTGCGAATGGATCGGTAAATCGAGTGCGTTTTAACACGATGAAGGATGGACGATGTGTAGAGTAAGCGTTTCGATGAGCGTTATAAATTGCGAGTTTCGTTTCAGATTGTAAATATCATATGCTGGCTTTTATTATTGCTTCTGCGATGATAATATCAATCCTGGCTAAATCATAAATCGTTCCCATTTGAAATTGACATCTTTAAAACAGGGCTTCTCAAAGTGAGGGGCTACGACATCGTGTCACGTAACTAAATTTGGAGGCCACGAAAATTTTAACAAAACTGAAAGATCGGTATGAATATCTGGCTTTGTCTTTAGTATATTTGCTACCAATGAATTCAGTCAAATGAATTTCCTTCGTGATCCATTATCGTAGCAAATATTTCAATTCGTATTCCTACTTTATACATCCAGAGTCGCGGCATCATATGAGGATCACGCAACTAAATTTAAAGGTCACGGAAATTTTAGCAAAACTAAATGATTGGTATGAAATATTCGTCTTTGATACGTGATAAATTTATATATTGCCACGTGTACCAAAGAATAAATTTTCTTCGTGACTTAAACCTCTTGCGCTGGAATGACGGTGCCACGCGCGTCGAGAATCTTTTGTCCCGAAATTGCAATATTTTCTCAGTTTTAAGTATATTTAAGTAAAACAACATAGGCAAAACAAATAATAAATTTATTACTTCTCAATAATTTCTATCCAGTGATGTCGTAGTACCGACGAGTTCAAAAAGAAAGCGTCGAATTATTGTATACAGTTTGGTCACTCGTTATGGTCCGCAATCGGTTGCCAGCGCAATTGGTTAACCTCTTGCGCTGGAATGACGGTGCCACGCGCGTCGAGAATATTTTTACCCCAAGTTGCAACATTTTCCCAATTCCAAGTATATTTAAATGTGACCGTGGCAAAACAAATGATAAATTTATTACTTCTTCACTTCTATTTCTATCAAATAACACAATACCGACGAGTTCAAAGGAAACAGATAGCGACGAATTAACGTATACGGTTCGGTCACTCGTTACGGTCCGCGAACCAATTGCCAGCGCAAGGGCGGTTAATATCATTTCATTCAGATTCCTCGTTTCTATATACCCAGTGTTATATACGCGAGAATATTTGGCTGAAGGCAGAGAAAAAAAAAAAAAACCTTTCAAAGCAGAAAAGTTTGAGAAGCCCTTTGAAGTTTAAAAAAAAGATACGACTTGTCTTTACAGCTGAAGGATTTCGTTTGTCCACAGGCAATACTAATCGCGTTGGTGCTCGGCAGCATCATTGTCGGGACTGTGATCGGGAACATTCTGGTCTGCGTAGCCGTGTTCCTCGTTAGGAAGCTGCGAAGGCCCTGCAACTATCTGCTGGTTAGCCTCGCAGTTAGCGATCTGTGCGTCGCTCTTCTGGTAATGCCGATGGCGTTGCTCTACGAGATCTCTGGTAATTGGTCCTTCGGTGCAATTATGTGCGACCTTTGGGTTAGCTTCGACGTGCTTAGCTGCACGGCCAGCATCCTGAATCTCTGTATGATCTCCGTGGACCGGTGAGTAGCCTCCCTCCGTGACCAGAAATTTCCAGCGAAAATCGGGTTTTCCGACGACGATCGAGATCTGAATCTCGTTTGAGTGAAACTGAATTATCCAATTACCGTGCGATTCGATCGAATTTCGCGCCGATTGTTGCTACTGATTCGCGATAAATGAAATAGCACGCGGATGCAATACAATGAAAGTGTTAACAGTGTCGTTGTGTTAGTCGGTGTCCGCTAGCATCTAGTTTGAGTATATAATCGATGCAATTAAATATCTGTTTATTCGATGTATGAACATGTAATATAATTACAATATGTATTAAACAGTATCATGCCATGAATTATAGGTAACTACACGTACTGTTTAATAAGTGTTTGATCAATTAAATTTATTTATTCGGGCATAATGTATAATTATAAATGTAACTTCGCGAAAATGTGAAGCGCAATTACATGGAAATGTTGTTCGATCAACTCTCGAATGTAATAGCATCGTTGGAGATGATTGTAGTAATTTACGTTGGATAACTAAAATTTTGGATATTCAATTCACGTTTCGCATTCTCTCTGATAAATTCAAAATTTCCGTTGTATTAATCTGAAATTAAAAGTTTCATCCACGGTGTAAAATATGGTGTAAACTACAAATGTGAAATTCGTCGACAAACAATGGAGAATCTGATGAAAACTTGTCAAGGAGTTTTGATTATTTTCACTCGATTATATAATGCTTCATTTATCTTTAACAACAATAATACTTAATTAATCTTTATCTGTGCGTGTTATTTCAATCTCTGTCGTAAATGCATTCCACCGTAATTAGGTTCGCAATTTAACATTAACAAAGTGAAATCTCGGAGCAAGTGAGCGAGTGAGTAAATGAAATTTGAAATTGCAGGTGGAAGCATATTTTAAAGTAAAATTTCGGAGCCGACTATTTCGCGGGGATTATCATACGATGATTCAATATACGTAGTCCGATCAAAGAGAGATCGTATTTATATTTCATTTGACGACGAAACATTTATCAACGGTGAATTTAAAGGATGAGAACTTCCGTGCTATCAGCAATGCAGATCGAAATGAGAGAATGCTCAGTCTTCTCATTTCGCAGTGAACGCAGGCAGATACGATTTCTATAGTATTGTGTTTCAGTGTCTCTAATCCCATTGTTTCCTTCAACTTCTTCGTGCACAATGCAAAAATAGACGCGACACGAATTTGTTACATAACTCTCACCTCCCGTTGCATTATCCCTATTGAAATCTGAATAACAATGATTGTTAAAAGTTGTGCTACAATTACATTTATTTTCTCCTATTCGGAGCTTCGTCGATCGATTATTTCATTCATGGTATTAATGGTATTGTCGACGTTCAATATCTTAAAGTAGAACGTCAAAAGTACAGGTCAGAGAATATAATGGAATATTAATACCGTAAATGGAAAGATCTCGATCGGCTCGTATTCCCTTGGACAATATGAATTCGTAGTTAATTTCTTATTCACTTTCTTGTTAAGGTCAATTGGCAGTAGTTGCTATTTGCGCAGATTTGTATTTTTGAAAATATAATACATGTGAAAAAAGTAGAATTGCTTTCATTTGTTAAATATCGTTTTTTAGTTTCAAAGCCTATTGAGGCATCAAGAAATTTTCATTTTTATTTAGCAATCTTAGCTTGCATATCTTTTTATTCAATACGTTGATTTTATTTTCGTTGGAACTGTTCAAAAATAATATTCGTGATAGCCATTTAGTCTGCGTATTATGAAATGAAATCTTCCAACGCTCACTGTCGCAATTTCTCTTTAAAAATAAATTTATCAAAACGTATTGATATATTATATAAAGTAAATAATTATATTTGTATAATTATATACTAACAAATTGTAAAATTATATATTATACATAATACATAATAAATTATAAAATTATAAATTATACATGATAAATTATAAAAATAAATACAGTAATTATATATTAAATTATATGTAATAAATTATAAAAATAAATACAGTAATTATATATTAAATTATGAAAATAAATACAGTAATTATGTACTAAATTATACATAATAAATTATAAAAATAAATACAATAAAAATTAAAATTATATATTATATATTAAAATTATGTAGTTTAATATATAATTTTCATGTATAATATATAATTTTAATTTTTATTGTATTAGTTACTGTATTTATTTTTATAATTTATTATGTATAATTTAGTATACAATTACTGCATTTATTTTTATAATTTATTATATATATAATTTAATATATAATTACTGTATTTATTTTTATAATTTATTATGCATAATTTATAATTTTATAATTACGTATAATATGTATTCACGGTAATCGCACAAACACGTTATACAACATACACTACGGTAGATACAACAACAGAAAAAAGAAAACAGCAAAACCACTCGACCATAATGCTTCTGGCTACAAACGAAAGTAGGGTACGACTTCTGATTCCAAGAATTTACGCACACGTTCGTCGAACGAGTAACACAGGGAGTAATCTAACAACCTCGTGACATGTATTTTCTTTACACTTTGCACGAGTCAACGTCCTTGTCGCAAGGTGTGTGTAATTCGAAGAAAACACATGGCGAAGAGAGAGTAAGAGCAAAATAAAGAGCGGAACGGCTCAGGGACATGTCGAGGCTCGTTGTATTTACCCCTCGGACTTGGTCGAGTGAGGACGCGACGCGATCAGACGCAGAAATTTCTCGTACACTTTGTTTCAATCTATCCAAATTCTCGCGAAATTTATTCGATTATTTGCAAGGTACGATATGCTTTTGCGTAACGTGTTTAAGCGTCGTTAGCAACGCGAGAATTTAATAAAAAAAGGTCAGAGGACTTTGATCCACTTACTCGTGTACTTGAACGTGATGTCAACTAGGTAAAGTTATTACAGAATTTACCTCGCTCTTTCCTAGATTTATAAAAGTCACCCATATCTATAGTCTAGCGACGCAAGAATTTAATAAGAAAAGAAAAAAATTTAAAAGTACCACCGTAAAATTCTGATGCTTAAGCTTAATTAACATTAAATTGTCATGAAATTTATCTTCTAGTTTGAAATATACAATAAAATTGTCCGAACTGTCCGAAAATTGTCCGACGACCAATAGCTAGAAATTTAACAAAACAAGTCACAAACCTTAACCAATCATAAAATCTTGTTCTAAACTTAAATACGTAAAAATTCGTTTCCCTTTCCTTTAATATAATACATCGAAATTACCCAGTTTATAGGATTTAAATAGTCGCAGGTAACTTAATTCCGAGCATAAAAGATTGAAGAGTATCTCAACCCTTGACTGGTTAATCTTCGTTCATTGGACTCCATCATAAAATAAATTACTCGGCTTTGGAATTTTATACTTTTCAATTTTATTTCTATTATTTTATTACCTATCACTGAGATGAATAAAATCCGGATAAAATCCTAAAGATATCGTAAATTAATATGGCGTCGTAATAGATGTTAGCGATACATTAGAATATAATAGCTGAGAGTAAGGCTTTCTGTTTTGACTGTTGCAGGTTCTGTGCCATAACCAAACCGCTGAAGTACGGGGTGAAAAGGACACCGCGACGTATGATCGTTTACGTGAGTCTCGTTTGGTTGGGAGCGGCTTGCATCAGTCTGCCACCGTTGTTGATCATGGGCAACGAGCATACTTACTCCGAGACCGGTCCGTCTCACTGCGTCGTCTGCCAGAATTTCTTCTATCAGATCTACGCCACACTCGGAAGCTTCTACATACCTCTGTTCGTGATGATTCAAGTATGTATCTCATTTTACCTTGTCTCTGCACCAAACATTCTTGCGACAGTTTCACTCGTTCATTATTGAGCTCGACAAGCCGATTTCCCGTCGTCGTACAAAAAATCGCCTAAGTACGTGTCGATTCGTTTCGTTAAGTATCTCATTATGTTAATACACACGCGTTATATATATTTAAAGTCGTGTATTAAAAATTCCAGCTATGTTTTATACACGGCGTGAACGTGTACCACGGAAATTATTGTTAAATATACTCGAAAGTATAGTTCTTTCTCACCTTCTTTGGGAAGAATTCCACTTTTTCTTTCCTCTCAAAGTAAAACGTTTAAATCGCTGAGTATCAAAAAGTCGTATCGCTGCAGTTTCAAATTTCCAATGAATATAGAAATGTAATATCAAATGTAAATATGATTTAATAATATGTAATTAAATGCAAGTTGTGCGAGTAATAAAAAAAAAAAATTACACAATGATCAAACACAATGTTAAGTCATACGTAACATTCGTAGAATTTAATTTCGTTTCGTATCAATTTTCCATAGTCCATTTCTTGGTACGCAACCTTTTTTAATTTCCGACCGATCGTTTCACGTTCACGTCGTTTCAGAACTGAAATCAAGAATCAAGAGTCTTCTCTTCTCCTCGATTTTTACAAAATCGTTGAAAATCTGATGCCTCGTCGCGTTATTAACGTTAATAACGAGAGAAAGGAACTCGATGAAAAATTCCTTCTCGCCGTTCCATTTGTTTCGTTGATCCAATATTATCATTCTATGGTGAACTCTGTTCGACTAAAGGGAAATCAATTACTCTCAACCTTCTACGGGTTAATTAAACCGATTGTGAGATTGCAGTTAAGGAACGAAGAAATTCCAATGTGTATATATACTGCAAAAACAACCGTCACACAGTAGTAGTCGTTTCGATTAATTCGACGAAACATCGCGATTACGATAAACGCTCGAGAAAATGTTAAGGGGCTTGTGAATTTATTGTGTATTGGGTAGCTGTAACAGAAAGCCATTCGGTGAAGTTTCTTTGCGATAAGATAAAAGAAAACATTCTAGTCGAATTGATTATAACCTTAGAATTAATGAAACTGTAGTTGCAAACGCGGTTCCATGTTTAATAAAATTTTATATAAATTATATAAAATATGAAATATATAAAATATGAAACATATACAATATATATTATATAAAATATATAAAATATGAAAATAAAAATATATATTATATATTACATATATATATATATTATATAAAAATAATATTTATATTAATAAAATATATATTATATATATTATATAAAATATATAAAATATGTTTAATTATACATGTCGATTCTAACGATTAAATATAAAAATGTTAAATATATAATATATAATATATTATAATATATTAATATACAAATTGATTAAATTATGAAACCATGGCATATTTATTATAATCGAAGGTAATACGCGTTACACGTTACAATAAAATGAAATAAAGTAACGAAAAAGACTAAAATGAAGTAATTTATTTATAAAGTACTTTATAAAGTACTGCGATGAAATCTCCAATAAAAGTTTCTTTTTTTTTCCTCTGTAATGACGAAGGACAGTTCACGAAGTTTCGATAGTTTCCCAACAGAGAGTGAGAGGGTTGATTTATGAACAGCTGGTTCGATTTAGAGTTAACGCAAGTTAAAAATTATAACCATCACTACCGATACTCCGTAGACAGTCCACTTTCTAATATATTAATCAAGCATCGTTAGATCATGATAAATAATTTCGTAGTCAGGTGATATATTGTTAAATTCCAATGACCCTCTAATCACTATACACCACCGCGGCGTCTCAATGAATTTAAGATATTGTATTTAAGGTTGTACGATGTATTAGGTTGCTTCGACGCGAGAATATATTCGAGCCTTACTGTAATTAATTAATATTAATTGCTGTTTCATTGGTGGTGGTGTATTTATTAAATTATTACCTCGAGGACACGATGGGATAAAGTTTAGTAGGCGAGTTAAATTGTCAGTAAATTACTCTCTTAATGTCCCGAAGCACTCCAGCATTCTCGAAGAATAATTGATATTAGAACCAAGTCTCGGGCCAAGAATCGAAATATACTTTTAAATTCGAATTTAAGGACGAACTTCGCAGATCTCTTCGGACAGATTCATTCTGAACTTGGTAGTTGAAAGCACTTTAAAACCGACTGTCACGAATTTCCTTGGTCGCAGTTTTCCAAAGCTTAAATATCAACATCTTAGACATTTAATAAATGGATCTTTTTCGTAACAAATAAAACACGAGGGAACACAGGAGCTGCGCTATTGTCTTTTTCGTGCAACAAATTTTAGAAAATTGAAGTTAACACTAGAACTAGCGGACTGAAGCATAAAACTTCCATCAGAGACATTAAATTAGCTTGCATAAATTTTCATTTATACATTTTACGAAAAATCATTTATATCTCTGAAAATGTACTGTCTTGTATCTGCAAAATTTCCAACAAAAATTATAAATTTGCTATGTCCATTAGATCAATAAGATTTCGAAAAGAATTTAACTTTTACAAAGAACGTCGAGCTGCACTAACCGTCTGAGATTAATAACCATTTCCAAATTATCGAATTATTCAATAGGCACGTACTTATTTCCATAATGGACTTGCTAGAACAAAATTATCGTCAAAGCAGATTGCACTTACAAAAATACAAAAAAAGAAAAAACATAGAATCACAAAAATATATGCGAGTCCATTCCATAGGATAAAATCATCGAGTCCGGGCCAACGAAAATAAAATAAAATAAAATGGTCGTCACGCTGGCCGCGAATGATTAATTGATCGATCGATCGAAAGATATACGATTCCTTTCTCGAAAAACAGCCTCCGAAACTCTTTCATTTACGAAGAAAAAAAGAAGAAAAAAAAATATTGCGTCCCTCTTTGAAAACCGAACAACTCTCGTTAACAAAGTTTCCCACGTTTTGCGAAAACAAACGGAGATATTTAACGGTGGTAATAGTCCGGTAGCCTGTGCGGTACAGAGACAAAGCGGTCGGACGAGTTTCTATTAAAGGGAACAGAAAATCGTTAATGTCGCGATTTTTCGCCGTAAGGGGTATTGACTTTTCGACGTGGGGTTTCGTTGCCACAATTGATTGGAGGGTTGCCGTGCGGCGAACGCAAATCCCATGGAAATAATTGGTGGGAAACATTGGTTGTAACAAGCACGCGGAAAATAAACGATCGTGCATACTTTCGCGGTCGTGGTGTTGTCGAGCGTTAACGCGAATTGACATAATAACAGTTAAATAATTGCCGAGTCGGTCGTGGCCGGTCAGCCGCACATGCGACAGTTTTATTGCCATCCGCCTCTTTAATTAATGCAACGTAAAGTGTAACGCCAACGGTGTGTGTTTCCCTGTGTGGAATAAAACCGACGTTTTTAATTATTTAAGCGCAATAACAGCCCGTTAGCGCAGTTACGGTGCGGTGCAAAACGATCAATTAACGTTACGTGTTTAGCACAGTGTTTAAACGTACGGTTGATCACGAAGGTATTTGAACATCTGCATGTATTATGCGAATGAAATTTATCATACGAACATTATATATATGTGTGTGTGTGTATATATATATATATATATATTTATATACATGCATACATATATATCTTTTTTGAATATATTGTATGAATTATATCAGATCAGATGATATATGGATTTTATATATTTTATATATTATATTTTATATATTATATGTTATATTTTATATATTATATTTTATATTTTATATTATATATATTATATTTTATATTTTATATATTATATTTTATATTATCTATATTATATTTTATATTTTATATATTATAAATTTTATATGTAGGTATACATATATATGTATTGCAATTTCGAACTTGACCAACGTGATCAGAATGACAAGTTGTATCTTTATAATACATGATTATTTATTTCATTTATTCTTTTCATCTCATATTTATTTGATCCTTTATATACTTGTGATATATATGAAAATTGGTACCTTTAACGATATAATAATTCACGTAATATATAATTAATACTATTATTTAATTAAACATATATAATTAATTGATTTAAATAATACAACACTATATACTATATAGAACAATATATATTATGATATGTTATTTGTAATTACAACAGATTATATGTATTATATATGTTATTATATATATATATGGGATCAATTTGAACTACATGTATAAATTATTACGAATATATACATACATGTATCAGGTTCTGTGATAATCACATTGCAAAATGTAGAAAAAATTAGAAATAATTTTAGATTACGATACTCATGTAGGACATTGTGTTCGCATATTTTACAAGAGATTTTCGCCCGAGCCTGCGAAAAAATTCTCCTCGAAAAGTAACGGAGACGCTCGTTTTCACCCGGTATTGAAAACGTTGCGCGAGAATTCATTATTAATCCAACACTGGTATCTCAACTATCCAAAAAATCCGGCAATAGGAATTTTCATCGTGCTTCGCATTCATTCGCGACAGACGGTTCTGACATGCATATATGTACATGTACGTATGTATTGTAGAAATTAATGTATAAATAATATTTATTTAATAACAATGCTGGTGGTTAAACAATGGATAATTAAACAAAGTAATGAACATAGATTAGCAACTAATATACGCGGTCACAACTGAATCGACGCTTTCTCACAATTCAAATCGTCTCTGTTTTTGACTCTCTCCTTTTTCAAAAAGAGAAACACCTCACCTTCCGCTTTTCCCACCGCGTTCATACTTTTTTACTTTTCTTTCCTACGATCAGCAAGTGTTACAGACCGTCTAGCATAATTAAACGCAACTAAAGATAAAAACTAGGTTATTATTATGACTTGACAACGACCTACGATAATGACCTACAATACTATATATATAGAAATAACTTTAGATTGCGATTGAATATAAATTTGACAGACGTGTGTAGGCTATTAATAATTTTTTTCTGAGTACATAAGTCTCTTTGTATAATTATAATAACAAGAACACATAATAATATATATATATATATATATATATATATATATATTATACAAAATCTATTTTTATAAATATAGAATATATATTATATATTAAAAATATATTTTTATAAATATATGTTGTTATAAAATAATTATTATGATATGCATTTATATATAAACATAGGTATATATTATTATAAAATAATTATTATATATATATGCATTTATATATAAACATAGATACATATTATTATAAAATAATTATTATATACACATATATGCATTTATATATAAATATATACATATATTATAAAATAACTATATATTTATTATATTTAGTTTATTTTTATTATATAAAATAGTTATATATATGTGCATTATTTATATATAAATATCTTTTTTTTCCAGGTGTATTACAAAATATTCTGCGCTGCGCGCAGGATAGTGCTCGAGGAACGAAGAGCGCAGAGCCACTTGGAGGCGCACTGCTATCTCGACATAGAGCCGACGGTTCAGCAGCATCAGCCGGCAGCCGTGAATCGTCAATTAAATTCCGACGTGCAGGGTGGCCATGGGAGTCCGCCTGCGAAGCAGCATCGAAGTTCCAGCGCCTCGACTACTGTAAGTACACAGACGAATTCGATACTAGTCGATAGATCGCACATAGGTACAATCTTGATTCGATTCGCGGTCTCGTTGAACACGAGGCCTTGGTTAACTCAGTCATCTCCTCAGCCATCGAAAACTAAACCGTGGATGATGAACTTAGCTAAACCATAAGTTCATCGTAACGTTTACGCGCCAATCGTTTCACTTGCAATAGAAAGGGTCACGTTCGACGAGAGGATTTTTCAGGCGGCATTTAATCTGTGTTGATCGAGAGGAGACGAATGTCTACATTATACAATATGTATGATATTATTGCTGTTAAATTACGCCAGAGTAGAAATTTACTATATAGATCGCTGTTGAAAAATACAAGTCGTACTCGATATTAAAGATATTCGTAATATCCAGTTCGATTGGATAGCATTTTCGCGTATTTGATCTGTTAATCGATTAACACGAAGGGAAATGAATCTTGTTAGGTTTTTCAAATATTTATTATATAATTATGTATATAAGGTATAATCTATTATATAATTATGTATATAATGTATAATTTATTATTTAATTATGTATATAATATATAATATATCTATTATATAATTATGTATATATACAATATCTATTATATAGTTATATACATAATATACAATATCTATTATATAATATAGAATAAATCTATTATATAATATAGGTATTATTATTGCTGTGTGTTAAATTACGTCAAAGTAGAAATTTGCTATAAATCACTGTTGAAAAATATAAATCGTACTCGATATTAAAGATACTCGTAATACAAGTTTCGATCGGAGAGCATTTTCTTTCGTATTTAATCTATTAATCGAGCAATTAATGCAAAAGGAAATGAATCATGTTTCTTTCTTCAACTGATCTGTTATATAATATAGGTATTATTATTGCGTTAACATAGGAGAAACTCACTGTTGAAAAATATAAATCATACTCGATATTAGACATGATAATTGTTTAGTCTGACAGAATGTTCATTTGCTCTTTCTCGTATCAATTTTCCAATTCCATAAATTATTTCCAAGTAATTTGCGAATGAAGAAATTTCTATGGGGTTTTCTATTTCCATTTAGGAGTCTTTCAGTCCCTGAGCCTGGTATAGTGAAACGAGACAGTCGTTGAGAAGTATACTCGAACAGTGAGAGAAATATTTTGATCGATTTCGTTTATCAATATCTGACGTGTATCCCTAATTTTCTTTGCTGTAATAATCGGTATAGCGTTGGCAATCTCGCGAACATCAGAGACGTTGAAAGCTGACGTTCCCAATGAAATGGAAGTGAGTGTTTCTCTTTACGCCGCGGGAATTGAATAGGAACGACAAAGAACGTGTTTTCTTTTTGCCTATTTTATCTAGGTTGCAATACCTTCACTGTCCATCCGCTTTAAACGATCTTCACTCACACGTTCCGCGGAACGATAAAACACTCATTGTCAGTCAAACTGTCCATCCTTCTCTATTGTGCACACACACTGTGCATCATTTTTTTTTTTTCCTTTCTCTTTCATCATATTCGCTGCCTTTAGTTTTAGACAGACGTGATATACACGGCGGTGTAGATCATTTTTTTTTTAAATATTCGTCGAACGGAAATTAAACACAACCTGTGAAAATGAATTAGACAGGCACGATTTAAATTCACATGAAATATTAAATTTATAATGTGAAATGTTTCGTGTAAGAAATAAAGCCACGTGTCGTCTTATTACGCGAACGTAAAAATCATAGCGGTGGAGAGAGGTTCTGTTGTATGAATTTCAATTATATAAACTAGCCGAACTCCGGCAAGTTCGCGTGAATGCAGTTCTATTGTACGTATACAGACATAACGCAAAGTAATTCGCTAAAGTATTCGAACACTCACCATGGAAGAATTTTACGTAAATATGTGTATATATATATATATATATATATATATATATATATATATATATATATATATGTTGATAAAATTTGAAATCATGTCGCAAACATATATACGTATATCCAGTAAAAAATTAGAGTACATATGTAGGAAATATTTTAGAATTGTAAGTTAATAAATATTATACAAGTATTTAGTATGTTGTACAAGTATTATATATTAGTAAATGCTGATTAAAAATGGTCCCAATAAATATTGTGATTTATTGATACAGCATATTGCGACAATTTAAATACTTTTAAAACGAGCTTACAATTTTCAAACTTGTCCAAAATAATCATAATATTATGTATTTCATTGTTCAAAATGATAACATACTCAAAATAATTCATAACATTCAATTCCCACAATATATTTGTCTCGTTCAATTCAATTCATATATAATATAAAAATTATATTATATAAATTATAGTATAAAAATTATATTATTAAAGTATAATTTAAAATAAAGTATATTATATAAATTATAATATAAAAATTATATTATAAAAATTATATTATATAAATTGTAATATAAAAATTATATTATATAAATCATAGTATAAAAATTATAATTTATAAATTATAATATAAAAATTATATTATATAAATTATAATATAAAAATTATATTATATAAATTATAATATAAAAATTATATTATATAAATTATATTATGTATGAATTTAAATATATATATATATATATATATATACACACATGTGACAAATTTGTAAAAAATTCTCGCTAGTGTTTGAACACTTTCACGAACAAGATTCCTCGGCAAATTTCGAAAATACCAGCGCGTGATGAACGGGAAAATGCTACGTTTCGAGAAACGTTCCATATTCCAGTAATTCACATCCGCTCCTCGGTCGTTCGACTCGCGATTCCAGAAAATGTTGCGCTTGCTGTAACCATTTTCTTCGCCGAAATATCAAGAAATGTCGATAGTTAGCCTCCTTGTGCTTTCCTTTCCCACGTACCGTGAATTCACAATTTCATTGCCATCGGCGAGGGGAGGAGAGGGTAATGATCGCGCGGTCATCGGGATGCACGCGAGCGTGATAACCACCTCGGCAATTTCACCGCGTTTTCGGCGCATTTCCGTGATATCGCGCGTGTCGGGGAAACAAAAGGTTCTCGAGTCTGCAGCGGAGGGAAAAAATTTCGTCTGAAAGCAAAACATCGCGTCGATAAACTGTCTGAATATAAATAAATGCAAATAAATTTAAATATAAATGAGTCTATATTTCATACAATAAGTAAAACATAATTAAGTGCATATATAACAACACGATGCTCGTTCTTCGATGATTCGCAACTCTAGAAAAAGACACGCGCATGAGATCCTGCCATTTTCTCTTTCTTCCCTTTGACAAAATGGCAGTCGTAATCGCGACATCAGCGCCTCCAATGATTCATGAACATAACTTTTCACTGTTTCATGGTGTTTCGCTGTTTAACGAATGATTTGCGATCTCGCAAATAAATTATACAAATGATAATTTTATATGTATATATAATATATAATTAATTATATAATACTATTAATAGTATTATATATATTATATATATAATAGTATTAATTATATACTATTAACTATTAATAGTATTAGTTATATACTATTAATAATATTATAATTAATATTAATATTAATATATTATATAATAATATAGTATTAATTATTAATAGTATTATATAGTATTACATAGTATTATGTATATATATAGTATAGTATAGTATAGCATATATATATATATACATAAAATAAATTTTAATAAAAATATAAAATATATATATAGTATCATGTTTTCGTGCGTTGCTCCAGTTTTTAATATTCTCCGACGCTATAGAATTGCAGTTGGATCGGAAATAAACGATAGAATACAACAAAATTATAAATATTATAAATATATATATATATATATAAATAATATTATAAAAATATTATAAATATATATATATATAAATTATAAATATTATAAATATTAATTATAAAAAAAAAGCACACGATGTCCGCGAAAAGCATATATGCACACAGTATCTACGTCAGATTTGTTATAGCATTTGCATACTACATTCTTACCAACAATCGTAAAATTTTATAGAAAGCATCGCTACAAGCCATAACTTGCACAACTTATTATCGTCGTACGTGCCGTGAGCTAATTCAAGCAATTGTTGAAGTTCGGATTGCAGAATTTCAGGAAAAGTTCTTTACTTAATTCTTCCTAGTTACGTGCTGATGTTTCTAATTACGTCTAGCGTAGCGCGTACGGTTCCATTCCGTTTATCTCGAATTCGTGTTCTCCTCAAGTTTACGAAAACAATGAATAATTCGCCTTTATCCTTAAAATTCGATTAACGGCAATAAATAAATTTAAGTTCTTTGTTAGATAATAAAGAAACAAGGACTGTAACTAGGTTCTACGTTTAATACTTTTATTTTTCTCGTTAAAAGCTAGTGAAATTCGTTCGTAGAGACTGAACGATTAGCATTTTTCATTTTCGTTTCATTTGTTGTTAGTATTTTTTTCGAAATTACATTATGTCTATTATGTGTATGATGAAAATAATTTTGTATTCTTACATTCGTAATTAGTCGAGTTTGTTATCAATATTATCATCATCTCGTGATCTCATTATCAATTATTCGAATTACTGGAGTATACTCAATGTTTCGATATTTGAAGAACGAGTAATGTTCAGAATTTTACATAGTAGGCGAATTTACGTAGTGTAGTCGCGATGTGACGAGTTTCGCCAAGTTTAGACGATTAAAATTCAGTCAAGGCTAAGTATTACAAATTGTGCCCCAACTTTCTTGCCCACGTGCCACGAATGCTACGTCATATCAAAGATAAACGGTAACTACTGTACTTGAACATAAGATTGTATCAACCGGATGACTACAACATTGCTGTAACATTGTACGAACGTATAACGAAGACGTGTGATTGTTAGGTTTAATTTTCAATGGGTTTGCAGACTTACGGATACTCTGAATATGAAATTGCAAATGTAAATTCTCTGTTTCCAACGTATGATCGATGCAAACATTTTGATTTTTATCACCAAC